AAAAAAAAAAAAAAAGAAGAAAAAATAAAAAAAAAAAAAAAGGCCAGGAGAAAAAAAAAAAGAAAAAAAAAAGATAAAAAAAAAAAAAAAAAAAAAAAAAAAAAAACTACTTAAAAAATGTTAATAACGAGAAAAGGACAACAATGTTAAATTTTTTTTTTTTAAAAATGGCCAGAAACAAATAATAGTTAAGAAAAGCCACAGTAAAACGTTCTTACATTTATATACTAAGACTTTTTTTGTTAGAACAGTGTTCGGGATCCCGCGGCTCTTGAGCTTTTTCATGAAACTCATTGATACTTGAATATTTGGCATACATCTCAAAAAACTCCCTCACCTTTTATTGTTTGTGTGTTACGTCAATTTGAATTTTGAACAGAACATGATATAAATTATTGTTGGAAAAAGGACATATTTCAGTAGTCACAAATGCTCAAAATTAAATCATTGCAAGAAAACCATGGAAAATAGAATATAAAATGATATTGAGAACATTAGAAGGAATCAAAATAAAACTTTGACCCTTAAAAATCAGAATAGCACTTACAAACAAAAGGGACAAAAATGAGTTTTCAAGAAATATAATGGCTAACTCGGGATGAAAATGAATGAAGAATACCAACAAGCCACGAATTGGATTATAGGAAGATCTCACACTAGCTAAAGAATTACAAAACACAGGCTGCACTGTACAGAAGTCCAATAAAGAATGTCGAAATGAAAAAGAATTGAAAAATGTACACCACAAAAACCTATAAGCTTGGATGGATAGCCGATGTTTAAATTCAATCATTACAAGAATGCATTAGTTTGTTCTGAGTTAAATTAAGTGGCGATGCAAGGCGGGCAAAAGCCCTACACATGCGGTACAAACTGGGAAACAGACCCGGTACTAATTAATTTGAAAACATCGATGCTGACTGTAAATATATCTTTTTAAATATATCTTACTCACCTATATTTATGAAACATGTTATGATGCTTATTCTTCCAATCATTTTGCAAGCAGCGCGTTTAATAGTGGCTGTGACATCTTGTGACTTGTTAAATGACCCATAATATGTAACAGTTCCGTTTCCTTTAACGCTGTGAGTTAATTTGTCGGTGTAAATTTCTATGACACACGGAATAGCCTGGCTTATACATGTGTAGGATATCATCAAATAGCTACCCTTAACATTCTCAGAACACATCTCTTCAGGTTTTATTTCTTTTGTGTTGATCGTTAGTAGCCCTTGTGTATTGTTTGACTCTTTAAAAAAATATTCACATGTATAAAAGAAAAAACATAATTAATATGAGCTTGACTGGAAGACATGATGCATTTGTGACCAGTTAAAAAAAACCTTTAACAGCTGATGTTAAGCAATAACTAGAAAAAAATTAATTCAATTATTGTAATAACAATAGTGTTATATACGTTCAATCTTGAGGAGATTGCTTACTTTCAGAATAATACTAAATTAATTTGTATGATCAAATTTAATAAAATGTATATGTGAAAACAGTAAACTCATCTCATTTATTCAGTTAATCCTCACTTATCTTAAAATATAAAAAGCTTTAAAACAGTGTTTCCTACATGTTTCTGTTGTTTTAACCCCTAATGAATTATTCTACAAGTCTTGAATTAATTACAAAATGTTCCACCTAAAAGTATTGAGTCTCTGATAAAAAATGAAATGCATTTTACAGTTTGAAATTAATGAATTTGTTTTTCTTTCTTTGCAAAAAGTGTTGAAATTTATAATATAAACGTTAACTAAAACAATACATGAAATGAAAAAAGAAAAGTTTAAAAATATACAAACATTTACATCATAACATGACAATTAACATTTC